TCCCATCTGGTGACATGTGAATGGGGACCGGGGGCTGTACAAAACCCTTCCATAATTTGTGAGATGGTGGGCTCAGGTGCCTAAGGATGCAATCACAGTTTGCACAATGATCTGAGTCGAAAATAGTTGTGGGTGAGAACAAAGTCGCAGAGCTCTGTAATCAAGTGTGCAGTGGTGTCAATCTGTTCGCTTCCTGTTCTAAGCTGTTTCAAGGTGTTTCTGTGTGCTGTTAAATGCCACCTTCCTTCCATAAGACAGGTGGTTACATTTCCACAGTGAGTAAAATGATTGTTCAGTCTTTTTGGCCTACTTCCTAATAGTGTTGGGACCCTTAATTCCTATTTGTAAAGCACTTTGAGTTCCTTTAAACACAAGATTTTGTAGAAATGCAAAGGATGGAGGTGCAGGTGGAGGTGCAGTTCACTGGAACCCTCTTTTAAAACAAACAGCTGTCTCCCCCAAATGACTGTGCATCACAAGTCTCTGTGTGTATGGCCACTAATATTTTTGGACCCAGAAAGGATGTTCTCAGCTCTTTGCTGCACAAACTACTGATATACTGCAGCTGTTCCTTTGTTAAAACAAAATGATAATCTCTTATCACTTGCATGAATCATTTTTTCTGGAGCCTATTTTTAATTTTTTTTAAATCAGCATTTGGGTGATAAGTGTTCAGAATTGTGCATGTTAATGGTCTTTGAGAACTGAGAAGCAGTGCATTTTCATGCTGTGGTTGGTGCTACAAACCCAAATACACAAAATTATGTTACACTTGAAGATATACCTGGTGTTGCTCGGGTCCTTAACTCAATTTTTGTTTTTTGGAAAATAAAATGAAAATGTCCATGCTTCATCTGAATAATTGCTCTGAGGTAGGGCCGGGGATGAAGAGGGGTTCAGTACGAAGGCAGCTGCGAGAAAAGAGAACTACTCCAGCATTCTCTCATCGCAGCAGCTTGAGGTCAGGTGATATGTGCCTCTCCATGGCTCCTGCAGCTCCAATTGGCACAATGGGGGAAGGGTGCATGTCCCCCCGCTGGGGCAGATCCAGGTTTATCTGCCTCCTGCATTCCCCAGCCAGGGTGAGGAATGCAGCAAACTGTGCACTTTCCACTCACTTCCTGAGAAAGGGGAACAGCCAGCAGTAAAGGGAACAGCCAACGGTGTTCCTGTATGAATCAGGGGAGGTGGAGTTTTAGCTCCCCTGCTGAAAGGGCACCTGGTGGGGATGCCAACCATTCCCTTTCACCTGACTAATGATTCTGTGTCTTTTCTGAATGGTTTTGAGAAGCAATCCCATTCTAGGCACATCCCATTTTCCTGGCACAACCAAACCCTTACTTTGTTTTAAGTTATGATAAGAGGAATCTATATACCACTTTTGGTAGTCCTAGCTCTTACTGCTTAAGAGGAGTTCTTGGATAAACAGATTCTCAAATACATAGTAAACACATAACCATAGTAAACACATAAACACTGCTGCCTTTCCTCCAATTTCTCTCAAGGAGCCTAAAGCATTTTCTTGCTCTAAATCAGGCCTGGGCAAAATACAGCCCACAGGCCACATGTGGCCTGCCAAGCCACCAGATCCAGCTCGCGGAGGCAGTGAAGAGCCCTAGGCAGGCTCCCCTGCTTACCCCGCATGCCACTCAAATGCGGCTGTCAGGCCCCATTTCTGTTTCAAAACTGGAAGGGGATGGGGAAGCTTCAGGAGCTGCCCTCTCCCCTATCACAATCCCATTGGTCAGTTTCTGGCCAGAAACTGGCCAGTGGGAGCTGCCTGTTTGAATAGCAGGCAGCCAAGAAAAACCATGCCCCTTCTCCTTAGTTCAGTTATTCACACAAGCATATGGCCTGGTGGGCTGGCTGGGAAACGTTTTAAGAGCTGCAAGCCTTAGTTCGGCAGGCAGGCAGGCAGGCTGGTTTGGCTGCTGGCTGGTAAGTCTCCTGGCCAGAACCTGCCTCTGGCACCTCAACCCCACCCTTCCCCAACCCTCTGCCCTCTAATCAACATACCCAAACCCTCTGCCCCCCCCTTTCTCCCATATCCCTTCCCAGGTCTGGCACCTCAATCTCCTGCCCCAGATCACGATCCCTTCCTACCCTAGGTCATATCCCAAACCCCTGCATTCTAGTCTCCTGCCCTAGGTCACAACTGCCTCCTTTACCCAAGCTCCCTCCCAGACTCCATTCTTTCTCCTGCACCCCACTCCCTTACCCCAATTCCCCTTCTGCACACAACCTCCATCCCAGACCCCGCATCTCCTCCATTAATATCATGGAAGAGTGCGACCTTCAACCACTTTCCAAAATCTTGGAGTGTCCCCTTCTAAAAAATTATTGCCCACCCCTGCTCTAAATCGTGCCAGAAATTTAAAAAAAATCAGAATGATTGGATTATTCTTGGAATAAAAAACAATCACAAAAAAGTTTCAGCTTTCAGAATACTGTGGCTTCTTTTTATTTAGGACGAGAATAAAGCATTTTTAAATATATTTATCTCATGTACACTCAAACGGAGATGCTGGTTCATACTTTACAGTGTTTGAAACCGAAAGTGAAAGTGATCCCCTTCACACTGATGCAACAAACAGATGACTTTAGAACAGACATAGGTTCAAAAGTCCCCTAGTATAAAGATTTAAATAAAGTAACATTTAATAATCAACACACCAAGTATCGTGACTGTGGTAACAAAGAGCACAGTGAATTCTCTGAGAAATCTACTTGCTGCTTACTTTTTGTTTTTAAACAACTGCTTTCCATTATAAATAAATAAGGCATGAAGGTTCTCCGTACGGTTACCAGAGTGGTAACCACAATCATGTGTATGGCTGCTAATACTTCTGAGTTTGGGGCCACTGACCATCTGAAAATGTCAAGGGTGAAAGAAAGAAGCTTTTGGCATTGGAAGGGGAAAGGAGAGGGTATCTGCAGGACTGGGCATCTCTGGCATGCCAATCTAAGAGGCAGCAGGGGTGATGGTTTGGCGGCCACACCTTTGCGAACTGCACGATGGCAACCTTTAGAAAAGAAAGGCCAGCGGGGGACTAATCCTGCAAAGCACCAAGCACCCTCAATCCTCACTGATTTTAGTGGGAGGGTAGGACAGTTGGCTCCTTGTAGGGTTAGATCCTGAATATGGAAAATCAAATGTGGGAGGAGAAAAAAATTAGATAAATTATGCTAAAAACTAACCAAAAGCCAGATTCTGACCTCGTTTATGCCAATGTAACTCACAATCTGACTTTGTGATTTAAGCTAGTGTAAGTGAAAAGAGAGTCCAGCCCAATGTTTCTTTAAGTGCATGTTGAACACTGTTGTAACTTATAACATCAGTAACTTATATCAATTGCCAGGGTCATCCCCTGCAGCTGAGCGCTCTGGATCTGTATCCGAAGCTCTCTAGTGACATGCTCTTTACCTGCCTCTATTCATGAGTCCTGCAAGATTCTATTAGGTCTGATCAAACAAGGCCCACTTGATGAGATATGGATACTGGTGATCCCTGAGATTGGGGAGGCTTTTTTGTGTGTGCCTGCCTGCCTCTCTCGGTGGGTGGGTGGGTGTGGGTGTGTGTGTGTGTGTGTGTGGAGAGAGAGATTCTGATGCTGGTATTAAACACAAGTGGCAGATGGTGACCACTGTTCGAGAGGGCAGCTCACTCAGTCAAGTTGGATTATTGTCAGCAGAAAACTCTGTCAGCTCAGTCAGGAAAGTTGATGGTAAAGGTGTGGGACAGTGTGATAAATACTGTTGTTAATAATCACTGCTCTTAATACCTTAAGAATGTGGTGCTTTGTTGTTATACCTGTAGGTGTGAGTCACTGCTAACCTTTTATTGCAAACCCAGACAAAGTCATATCTCAAGAGCTTGCTAGAAAGGGCAATGATGATCTCTTGAATAGCAAGGCACAGAGGACCAATACCCAAACCTAAAGATAAGGAGTATCTCTCTGAACCAGGAACAGCACTTCTTGTTTGGCTTCTGGGAAAACCCCAGTCGTCAGTTTCAACCATTATATGAATTTAACCAGGCTGTGATTCACCCGGAGTGTCAAAGAAGGATTTCTTGTACATGTAAAGTCCTAAGACTACTGACTGACTCCTCGGAGAGGCTGATGAAGACATTACAGTAACCAGTTCTACATTTCTCTTCAAGTTTTTCCAGTTGCAATGAGTTGCATTGTAAATCTCTGAAAAACCTGACTGATAAGAGAATGGCTTAAATAGGAAGAACATAAGGCCCAATAGGGAATGGAAAGGTACAATTACAGTGTCTTGGGTATGCTTGTGGGGTCCTTTGCAGTAAACCACAGAGAAAGAGAAGGGCTGGGTGTTCTGAAGCAGTCTCTGGAAGTGCTGATGACTTCTGTATAACATTGCATCCAGGGCATTCCAGGACATTGCAGGAGGTCCAAGCTTTTGCCTGCAGATAATCAAACACAGTAGCTGGAGGAGAAGCTGAAATGGGGGAGAGGGGTTGTTGGTTGAGTTCCAGAGTTTGTGATTTCTGGCTGCTGTAGCAACACATGCAGGAATTCATTGTAAAATTTCTGAAACAATCTAGAACTACAATATACAGCTTTTCCAATAGGTTCGGAAACCCTGTGGCAGCTGGGTTCGCTTGGAGCACTAAATTTAAAAATGACGTAAGTCTCCATGGCACTTTCTTGCCCTTGAGCCATTGTAGGCCCCCTTCCCATACAAGAAAACAAAATGAGGGACCTCAAGGTGGGGGTAGGGAGGAGAATAGCTACACAATATTTCCTGGACAAAAGAGAAGAGATGGCCGTTGAGGTTGCATGTGGGAGCAAAAGAAACACAGTGATGGTGGGATTCATTTGCTAGACTTGTTTTTCACCTTGGTGGCATTGATATCAGCTTTTGTCTTCTGGATGCGTGAGAAGATCTCCTTGAAAAGGGCCTTGTACTCTGGCTGACTCTGCTCCAGCCGCTTGTCCACAGCCTCCACGTGTTTGCTAAGAATGGCCGTTGAGGTTGCATGTGGGAGCAAAAGAAACACAGTGATGGTGGGATTCATTTGCTAGACTTGTTTTTCACCTTGGTGGCATTGATATCAGCTTTTGTCTTCTGGATGCGTGAGAAGATCTCCTTGAAAAGGGCCTTGTACTCTGGCTGACTCTGCTCCAGCCGCTTGTCCACAGCCTCCACGTGTTTGCTAAGACTCTTCTCTATTGTCTTTCCCCCTCTCCCCGGAAGTCCCTGAAGGAGCTGTCACGAGAAATAGGGCGGGAGGTCTGCACTCCGGTGTGGCGCACACTGTCCTTGTGCTGTCGGCACTTACTGAGGAGCTCTTCGTACTTCTCCAACAGGGCATGGTACTGCTCATCCACCTCCCTCAGGATCGACATGCCCCGCTTGCGCACATTGTTGGCGTGAAGGGTGTAGTTGCCTTCGTGCCGGCTTACAGCGTCCTTGGCCACGATGGCGTTAAGGGCCGTGTCGCTGCAGCTTTTCCGGACGGGGTGATTTGGGGAAGCTGTCATGGATGTACTGTGAGTTTTACTCCCATCTTCCTCTGAAAGGTCAATGTAGTCGGCTTCGGGGGCATTGTTTAAGGGCTCCAGAAGAGCTTCAGACAGGTTATCCTCTCTGCTAAGAAGATACTTCTTGACTTGCTTCATCTGTTGCAGTTCCAGGAGCTCGGCCTCCAGTTCCTTGATGCGTAGTTTGCAGCTCTCCATTTCACACACCCGTTGCTCGAGGTCTGAGTACTCTTGGATAACAGCAGTGTATTCACGCTCCACCCTCTCCTTTCGTTGCTTCTCCTGGTTGACTTGGGACCTAAGAGAATTCACCATGGCCTGAAGACGCTCATTCTCCCTCTCCATTGGATTTTGGTTGAGTTCCATTGAAGAGCTGTGAACCTGGAATGCATCCTCATACCTGTGGCAGAGGGATAGTGTAGTTAGTTATTGACAAAATAATGGGCCCTCAAGGAAATTGAAGCTAAATTCTCCTGTCAATTATACCAGTAATTTCACTAAAGTTCATGGAGGAACTACCCCGGACACACACTGGTGTAACCAAGTAAGATTTGGCTTGTGTGTGCGTTGTTATTATTTGTGTTACTGTTGTGCCTAGAGGCCACACTCAACATTGGGGGTGCACTATGCCAGACACTGTACATACACACAAGACAATCCCTGCCCCACAGAGTTTACAATCTAATTATACTAGAAGAGACAAAACAGTGGGAAGGGGAATGGGAGAGACACAAAGGAATTAACTTCTGCAAGGTCACATACAGGTCAGTAATAGGATTGGGAATAGAACCCAAGATTTCTGATTCCCACTCCAGTGCTTCATACCCTCACTGCTTTACATGGAAACCAGCTGGCAGCTTCTCATTGTGTTACTCTGCAAAAGTCTGAGTTTTATACAGATCTGTTGAAATGCTACCTGACCAAGAGCCCTGAAGATGGAACCTGTCTCTGTATACAGACTAGGCATAGTTTAGGTATTAGCTTCTGCCACATGGCTCCACTTGGTCCTGGAGAGCCATTAGTTCCGGTGAGAGGACTGTTTAGCCTCCATGACCCATATTCAATCATGAGTTCCTTTGCTGTCGGATTGCAGTCGGGGCTGCACTTTTGTGACTTGGACCTTGTCTACATGAGAGTTATAACGGGCTTTGAGACTGATTCCTACCCCTGCGCCTGTGAAACTAAATCACTCTGTTAGTTAAACCAGTGCAACCTTCTTGCACAGAGATGGCCTTCGCTTCTGGCAATGTGAGTGTTAGCTGCCACATTCATTTCCCACAAACCCTTTCGGAGGCATTTCATAGAAATATCTTCAAGGCACTAGCAAGTTGGGCTGCAAATACAGGACTTGAGATTTTTTTCCACCTTGGGCTAGTAGGGATTCATTATCATCAACTTTCTGACAGGGGGAAGGAAGGTGATGTGAGCTAAATGCTAGTCACTTGGCTTCTGAAGTTTTTGTTCACTCTCCAGCAGTGACTGAACAACACTGGCCCTATAGCAAATGGGTCCCACCCATTCTGTTTGAAAGGAAGGCTAAGCATTGGCAGCACCTAAGACTGAAAGGAGAGGAGGAATGAGCAAGCATGGGAATAAAGTATTCACAAATGTGGTGCACCAGGAGCCTGTTATCCATCTCCCCTTTCTCCTGTGCCAGAGGCTGCCACTGTAGGAATCTGCTCCTCAGGAATTTGACTTTACCCACCAAGAGAGGACAAAAGGGAGAGAACCCCCTTGGAAAAACTGTATTTTCCCAACCTAAATCAACAAAGTAATAAAACTGTGGAGTGTGTATTGCAGCATCTAGGCTTAACCCCGCCCTAAAAAACAAACAAACAAAACATGACTGTGCTGGTCTGTGTCCAGGAAGTGCTCCAGAAAGAATAGATGCAGGTTTATAAATTGAGGGGTGGATGGAAAAAGATTCTTGTGGGAGTAGCTCCTCTTTCAGTGCTTCTGTAACAGGGATAAAATACCAGCCTTTTCTCTCGAGGGCTTGGGTGAGGCGAGGGATTGGGTATTGAACAGATTCCCTACTCTCTGTAGGTCAGAGTGACCTGCAAATCCCAAATGCAAATTTCAAAGCCAAACGGTGCAGCAAGGCAATGTGGGTAAAGCACTACAGGGGCATGGTGGGAAAACAACCACATCGATTTTGCCTCGGGATAGATTATACCCTTGTGATGTCCCCTGCATTGCTCTACTACAATGCTGTGCATTTGTATCCCCTGGCAGCGCAATGCTTTCTATAGGATAGCAGGTTGATTGATTGTCTGTCTATTTAGAGAAGAGTCCATCATATAGGAAGCTGAGCAAGAAATGTCTTCAGGAGGTCAGTGAATTAATGCAGTGGCTGGATTTCAGATATGATGGGCTGAACGATAACATCATATGTGTTTGTACAGCACCTAGCATAGCAGGGACCTGGTTCGTGACTGCGGCTTCTCAGTGCTTCAGTACAAATAGTAATGCATGTGCAAAAAATACGGCTGCTCTACTGTAGCTGCACCAGAAGGAGATGTAGGATTTCACACTCCTCTACAACATCTGTCTGGGTGCAAGTGGTAGGGAGGGACTGCCTGCAATGGTCCCTCCAATCTTTTCTGTCCACGCATGGAATACATTTTGTATGTGCAGAGGCATGTGTGAGTGTGCACCACCAGTAGAAACCAAAAACCTCACTGTGGACGCTCTGCTAATCGGCGGGACGGCATCTGAATCTCTCCTGAGTGGCTGCGCACATGCACAGCTTACAGGGACCACTGTCTGCCTGTGCTAGCTGCCCCATCCAAGGAGCTGTCAGGGTCAAAACCTTGTCTCTGTATGCTCTAGATGGTGATGAGAGAATCGTACTGGGGGAACACTGGCTACAGCTCTTTAAATGTAGCTCAAGCCGGGAAGCAGCGTGCATGAGAAAGGCAGAGCCACATGGGCCGGGCACCTCCTTTCCTTGCCCCAGTGCAGCTCTACTTCCTAAGATGTCATAGGAGCCCTTCCACAAAATCTCATGATTCAAGGCATCTGCTGATAGAGTGACCAGGAAGGAACCCAAGAGCTGTACAGCTGTGTGCATTGCCTAGGGGTGGGGCTCACTTTCCTCTCAAGCTCTGCTTATGGGGTTCTGCTGCAGAGGTGAGAAGCTAACCTGGCAAATCCTGAGTTTCTATTGCTCCCCTTTTTAGAGCCCTCCCCACTGTGTTCTCTGACTTGTGCTGCTTTAATGAACTGGGGCAGTGAGGAATAAAATTTGCGCCCCTCTCATGCTGCTGGTTTTCCCCTTCTCAGCAGAAATGCCAGTTTTAAGGCCCAGGTATTTGCTGGTTCTCAGAACCTTGCTGATATCGTCTCAGCACCTGCCTTTACCTCTCCCTGCTTTAGGGTGATACCTGGGGCTTGAGCACAGCTCCTTAAGGCAGGGGAAGGTATGGATGGTTCGGCGCCGCTCCCTTTTCTCCCGCCTTATGCGCAGCTGCTCTAAGCTCCGCAGCTCTTCCACCTGCTTCTGCAGCTCCTCCACCTGGTTCTGCAGCCCTTCGATGGTCTCCGTCAGGCTGCAGTTAAGGTTAGGGTAAGAGAGAAAGAGAGAGAAAAGTAAGGGGAGGCAATAAGGAAGTTCAGTGTTACTTAGTCCTTCTCACAATACAAGAACTAGAGGTCACCTGATGAAATTAATAGACAGCAGGTTTAAAATAAACCAAAGGAAGTACTTCACACAATGCACAGACAACCTGTGGAACTCCCTGCCAAAGGATATTGTAAAGGCCAAGACTATAAGAGGGTTAAAAAAAGAACTAGATATGTTTACAGAGTATAGGTTCATCAGTGGCTATTAGCCAGGATGGGTAGGAATGGTGTCCCTAACCTCAGTTTGCCTGATGCTGGGAATGGGTGCCAGGGGATGGATCATTTGATGATTGCCTCTTCTGTTCATTCCCTCTGGGGCACCTGGCATTGGTCACTGTCAGAAGACAGGATACTGGGCTAGATGGACTTTTGGTCTAATCTAATATGGCCATTCTTAGGTAGGTGCCTATCTGCTAAAGGTCTTGCTTAACAATGCCCTCCTACTGTAGGGGAAGGCTGAGGAAGAGTGCACTTGAGGGCAGATCCTGCATTCCTTATATATACCAAAGCCCTGGATGGAGATATGGGGGGGATTTGGGGTGCACTGGGAGTACGCTTCTACCTGTGATGAATCCTGCCTGAGTGTTTTCTCTCTTGGGGCATATATGTGTGGCGGGGGCAGGTGGATGAGGAGGTGGCAGAGGAGTGCAATAATTTGGGATTCTATTCTTGAAGCAGTTGGTTAGAACAATAGCCTCCTGGGATTTGCACAATCCTAGACTATCTCAGCATTTAATTGATTAAAATGAGATTGATGCCAAGTTTATTCATTCTTCTCTTCCTGCCATAGAAATAAAATGCAGAAACTGGCCAGGAATCAGTTGTGAGTACCATTTGTAAAACAGTGTGTAGAGCCGAGACACTAAAGTTTTGTGCTTGTACAGCCTTTTAAAAAGACATGTTGTACAAGACACAGTGGAACCATCTGGTGCTCACAAGGACTGACCTTGGTCAGGGTCTCCTTTTAGAAGGGAAAATATTATTGATACGATGGTGTTAGTTGGCAGGGAATATCCTACTCTGGGCTACCCTAGAGGTGGAACTAGCATCCAAGTAACGACTGATTGGCATTATTCTCCTCCAGAGCTTCTTGACATGCTTCTGTTCCTGTAGTTCAGGGAATGGGTATTTTTCAAATAGACCCTTCTGTTCTTGTTCAGGACTGGCAGCCATCTGCCCCTACAGGGCAAAGCATCTTACCCCATCCTGGTCCCCCAGCTATCAGTCAGATTGCTGACCTAAGCACGAGCAGTGGGGAGCATTACCATTGTATCTTCTGCTGGGATGTCTTGCTCTCCAGCACAAGCTTCTGATTGGCCAGCTCCAGGTCCCGTGCTGTGAGGTCCAGCTGCTCATAGACCTTGGCGTGCTGTTCATTCATCTGACGCAACATCTCCAGCTGCTTCGTCAGGTACTGCAAAAAATTCAGGAGTCTGTGAAACGTGAGGAGACTGAAGACCCGTGTTTGTGCATAGAGCCTGTTCCTGAACAGCCTGTCTTTTCGCTTTGTCATCAGGGGACCCAACCCTGGAAGGTACTGAGATCCCTCAATGTCCACTGACTTCTGGGGAAGCTCAGGGTAGTCAGTTGGATTTATCTGCCTAAAGGAACAGTTACCTGTGCTCTTCCCCAGCCTTCCTAACGCTATTTGGTGAGTGTCACCCTTGCTGTGATGTGCGGCCAGCCCTACAATAGTGCTTCCTCTCTGGCTGTGAGAGAACTCAGCAGTGGGGTAGGGGTGAGGGACTGTCGAATCTGTTCACTTATTTCCCACAAACTCAGCCAATGTGACATTGTTCGTGCTTGTGTGTCCTCCTCTCCCTTTCCGCTGCCCTGCGTCTGTCTTGTCTATTTAGACTAGCTCTTTGGGACAAGGCTAGTCTGCTTCAGTGCAGCACATAGCACGAGGGAGCGCTGTGCTTAGATGGCTACTAAACAGGATCACTAATAGCTGGAACCAGGCCGGGAGGCACCAGAATGATCGCACCCTTTCCTACAGCGTTCTCACCAAAAGCCGTGTGGGGTGTGGCTTAGGAACAGAATACGACTGAACATGACCAATGAGCCAGCCAAAAAGGGGCTCCCAAAGCTGCAGGCAGAGGGCACGTGATGAAAAAATACAACTGGGGGGTGGAGGGACCCTCAGAGCGTGGAGCCCAGACTGGCTGATCTGCTTTATTAGGACTTAATCCTCCAGTGATTCATTCCATTCCATATGTGGCTTTAACTCCCCTCCCCCTACAGCACAGCTCTTAACAGCCTAGCAGCTCCCATTGGCTGCAAGGTGGCTGAAATGTCCCCCGTTTTCGTATAACTAAGCTCTTCAGAGAGCAGCAGCAGCAGGGAGCTATCCTGGCCTCCAGCAGCATCTATACCTCTATCTCTTGCACTTGCTCCTCATTGGTTGCGTACATCTGTTGCAGTGAATCCTCCAGCTCTTTATTACGCTCCAGCAACGTCTTCCCCAGTTCGGCAGCCAAGTGCAGGTCTGAAAAGTAAAAGGGACAGATTGCTGAGAGCGACGTTCCCTGGAATCGCCAACCTAAATACCAGCAGGGTGGCTACAGCCCTTTATTTAAGGTAGCAGCTGAACACCATGCAGCATGTGGGTTGTTTGGACAAGAACTTGGAAACCTGTCTTCTCTGCCTGGACCCTCTGGCACTTTTTGTAATAGAGGTGGTTTGTGTGAGTCCCTCCTGAGACCATACTTTTGCCCCATCTCTGTGGGTCCATGCACTGTTGCTTGGTTGTCTGCTGTTTTCCACTTTCTAACGTTTGCTGCATTTCAGGGGGCCAGTCCTAGAAACCATGGTCAGGGCTCAATTTTCTGTGCACCCAAATGCAAAGGGGACAGCTCAGCTCCTGATTTAATACAGAACGACCTCTAGGCTGTTCTAAACTGCCTCCTGGAATGACCCCTAAGGGACCTATCTGCCAGCGGGGGAGAACTGGATAGGAGACTCTGACCTGTTTCCTAATCTTAATGTAAGAGTGTTGTGCCCTGCCAGCTACATAGGCTTTGTTCGACTCCTGGGCTATGTCTACACTCGCAGCTTCTTGCAGGAGAAATATGCAAATGAGACTAAGCGTGGAATATCGCTGAGCCTCATTTGCATACCTAATGAGCCACCGTTTTTGCATAAGAGGCTCTTGTACTAGAAGGAGCTGTCTACACTGCCCCTTCTTGCGCAAGAAAAACCCTCTTGCACAATGCCATTCTTCCTGAAAATAATCGATGTAACGGCCTCTTATGCAAAAACGGCAGCTCATTAGGTATGCAAATGAGGCTCAGTGATATTCCACACTTAGCCTCATTTGCATATTTATCCCGCAAGAAGCCGTGAGTGCAAGCATAGCCCTGGAGACCCCCATATATCAAGGCTACATCTACACTACGGGCTTCTTGCGCAAGAACTTGCGGAGCGTCTACACTGCACGCACGTTCTTGCGCAAGTAAATATACAGTAAAGTGTGGGAACAGAGGGCTTCCTGTGCAAGAGTTATTCCTCTCCCCATGAGGAATAAGCCCTCTTGCCAGTTTTCTTCCACATATTGATCTGAGGAAGTGGGTCTGGCCCACGAAAGCTCATCACCTAATAAACCATCTTGTTAGTCTTTAAAAGTGCTGCATAGTCCTGTCTTTTGTTTCTTGCACAAGAAGGCAGTGTGGATGGGCAACGGGTTTCTTGCGCAAGGAACCGCTATGGCTAAAATGGCCATCAGAGCTTTCTTGTGCAAGAGAGGGTCCACACTGCCATGGATGCTCTTGCGCAGAAGCACATCTCTTGCAGAAAAGCACATGGCAGTTTGGATGGGCTCTTGCGCAAGACCTTTTGTGCAAGAACTCTTTTGCAAAACAGTTCTTGCGCAAGAAGCCTGCAGTGTAGACGTAGCCCAAGGGTCTCCCCAGTTAGCTATTTAAGCCAACTTTGTGGCTTCTTTGCACCCTGAAAGGGCTGTAGCAGGGCTCAGGATGGTGGATGGAGCACGTAAGGGCTGATCCTGCAAGACGCTGTGTGCCTTCAACTCCCATTGTTGAGGTCAATGAGACTTGGAGTGCTCAGCACTTTTTCGGGTTGGACCCATAGTGTGTAAAGCACCTGGAAGTGCTAGGAGGAATCCTCAGGAAATGTTTTCTCTATTTAAGGGAGTAGTTCGCCCTCCTCCAGCATCCATTGCCCACGAACAGTCTGATATGAGAACTAAAAGCTGCATGCAGCCCGGGCAAATCAATGGTCCCTCCCCATCAGTTTCCTCCCTGCTGGCTCTGTCACTGGCTGTTATGGCACCTTATGTCTGTCTATGAGCATCAGTGGTGGCACAAGTGACGTGGCTGCCCGGAGGGCAAATAGACATTTGACCACTGAACTGGCTTCCAGGTTCTATGGGTGTGCAAAGATCTTGGCTAGCTCCTGAGCCTGCATTTCTTCCCAGGGGAGACTCTTGTCTCCTAGTCATGGGAGGGAAGCAGGAGTAGCTATCTCAATTATCCCTCCCTGGCGGGATACAGAGGGGGGCAGTGCTGGCACCGAAGTGCTAATTGAATCCCTCCCTCTCTGCTTGCTGTCACTGCGCTTTAATGAGAAGTCCCTCTGGGCAATCAGTGCTTGGGAGTCTGTTACCATGGCAGGAGGGAGAGGATCAGAGCCCCCCTAGCTCTCCCAACCCCCACTCTTAGGCCTCAGCTTTCACAGTGGAATTAGCGAGTTTCTGTTCAAAATGCCTTTCCTATGATTAGCTCTTGTAGAGCTGCACCCAGCAGCCCTGGGAGTTAGATCTTGTGCTGAAGGGGCTGCGTCTCTTATGGTACAATCAGGCCAATGAATTTACTCTCAGGCATCTACTGATTCCCCCAAAATAGGGTTAATAGCTTTGCAGTGTCTGCAGGTCACCCACATGCTCGCTGTTCTTCCCCCTGCCCTCCCGCCGCCTCGTGGCAAAAACAAACAAGCCCTTTGCTCTGAGCCTGGTAACAGCTTCACAAACTCTCACTGTATTATTGTGAATCTCACAAGAATTGGTATTCTCCTTAAAGCCTCCACTCCTGGAGCCGTGGGATTATATGAGACTCTCAGCTTCACTTTAAAAAAGGTGAATCGCTAACCCTTATGTTTGGAGAGATTACCTTGCAAATGTAGCCCCGGCAGTCTCTAGCACCAGAAAGTAAATACAAAGAACCTCAACAATGTATTGTTTATAAAGTCTCGTGATTTTTTGAAGGGATCTGGCTCATGTAGAATGGTGGGCGTTGGTGAATATGGGAAGCTGGGCCTGATACACTAATATTCCCCAGTACATTATAACACCCAGTGTGGCCCCTAAAAAAAATAGGACGAATTTCAGGATAACTGCTGTGGCCTAAAACATTTTCAGCTTCTTCCAGAAGTAATTTGACTTGGCAGGTGATTAGGAGGCAGTGACATTTAATCGTTAGAGCAGGAGGTGGAGGCCTGCTCTGCACTAGTGGATTGGGTCAATGTAAGCTGCCATGTGTCAACTAGGGTGGCCATTTGTCCTCTTGTATAGAGGACAGTCCTGGTTTTTGCTACTCTGTCTCTGTTGATATGAAACAGGACACCTGTGTGTCTATTTTTCTCTTGAGACCAGAGGTGAAAGTAAGCCAGTGCACACCGATGTGGCACTCTGGTGAGAAGAAGCCGGCTTGCTGGGGTGCTGAACTGCTGCTGCTCCAAGCCAGGCTGGGTTCCCGGGGCTCTCCTGCAGGTCGCCTTGCTAAGCGACAGGTAGCCAGGCAGGTGAAAGGGACTGGTGGGGGGGCTGCCCCAGTCCCAAGACCCCTCCTTCTCCCGGCACTGCA